GATTTCTCACCGTCCTTCAACAAATTCCTCATCAGCACTTATGGAAAGGTTAGGTTCAAGACAACATTTCTGCTACATTCAGCCTACCAGCTGAGATAATGAAGTCCTGATCAGATTCAATTCGAAAGCCCTCTTCCATCAGGCTTCCCCTGCATTCCGAGTAACCCACCTAGGCAACTGCTTCGGCACCTTGTTAGGAACATTGTTTTGCAACTCATAGCTTGCCAAAAATATCGTTTTTGTTGTGATATCATAGGCCATCACAGCAGTCAAACACATTTAGACACTGTTTACGGTCTTATTTATAGATTCCATCTCGTAACAAGTAGTCTGGGTGCGATGCGATTCATAAAAATAATATCTGTGCTTGTGGAGTGATATAAGGTTCCGAAAAGGAATCTGAACTCATGAAGTTTCCTGATTAAGTTAGCTTTTCGTGATAGGGCAAGCTATACTTTAGAACCTTCTACTATTTCGCTTAGGAAAAGCTCGATAGACAAAATTCGGAAAAAGCGCGATCAAACGCACTCCAAAGAACTGCATATTAGTGTAACGAGATTATTTTGCCGAAATATTGGGTAAAAGCGCTAAACTGTAAAGTACCTACAGCATTTTCTGATTTCTCGACGAATGACGTCTCCTGTATGTAGCACGAAATCTCGAACTCGAACCACACTCGGACCTGGGCGGGATTTCCGCAGTGGGCGGGTCTCTGTGACGACGCTAGGGTAAGACAGCGCGCGAAGCTTTGTGTAAACCTTGGATGGCTTCACCTCTTAACAGCACATGTGATGCAGCCATTCAAATAGCTCTGCTTTCGAAAAAAATTGTCGAGCATACGGCATACAGGACAAGTAGGGCTTATATCAATTTTAAGTGCTAAACTAAGTGACTTTCAGCAAATCGCCGATCGATTGGTTAGGAACGATATTGGTGCTCATGCCAGTTTTGGAGGTGGAGATGATTCACCAACAAGGACAGATAGGTACCTAAGTCCGATTTTACAAGTACTATGACTACTTATATATTGTGTACCTTTCAAAATCAAATTGTGAATGCTCATTCAGCCATATAAAAAAGATGATGAAAATTGATCATCCAGGCCTCCAATTTTTTGAGTTATTGTTTGACGACATCACAGCGCACTTATGGTATTTGCTTTGCCCGTTTGCAAGTATTTTTACCGCTGAAACCCTCGAACCGCGTGCCGGTGAAAATATCTGTGGTGGACACTATTTCCGGAAGGAAGCCTATATTTTGGAGTCAAATATGGAAAATAAATGTAATATTTCAGACAACAAAGCGTCATACTTGTTCATGGACTCGCTGGCAGCGCAAAACTCCTCGAAGCTCAGCGACGATATTTTTTAAAGGCACGTTCTTCTACTTTCAAATAGTAATTCACGTCAACACCCTTAGCTTTAGTTTCTTTGCGAAGTTTATTGTCTGGGTCCACAAAGAGCCCTACGCGGTGTCTGGAGAGCTCAACTAGAGGAAACTACGAATTCGAGTTCCTCCCGAAACTAAGCGCTCTGCCCATAAGTCAGAAAGCCGTAACCGGGGGTTAACATCATTTTTATAAGAATTCCCAAAAGAATGATTTCAGGCAGGTTGGAATGAATCAGATATCTATGGAACAACCTATGGTGATGGTGAAAGGACTTTCCTATATGCGGACAGTATGAAATGCGAGTATGTGAAGCAGGTAAGGCTTATTTAATTATTTCCTCTTATTCCTTAGGGATCCTTTCCAACAAAATTTGGAAGAAGTCCCAGTAATGCCAAATGCCGACTCGGTTCCTCCACCCTTTCACCCCTCCCCTCGTCATTACTGAATTCAAATTTAAAAACAAAAACGACGTAAACATTGGGCTAGAGAGGGATGTGTTTCCGAAGTAATCCAGGTGAGCAAACATCTCAATCTAAACAAATTCAAATGAATTCAGAGGTAACTTGTAATATGACGTACTGCAGTAATTGACCTCGTGTTTGCAGATTCGATTATTAATACAAGCAGTGGCGGCGTTCACAGAGCAACGTGTAGATGTAATCGGATATTCTATGGGGTCTCCAATCTCAAGAAAGGTGACTTTTATGAATTCTTCGGAAATACGAACCCTTCTACAGCTAGCGATAAGAACAATGGAGTGATGGCAACGACCACTTTTACTGTGGGTGTAAGGGGAAAATCTTAATGGGATACTGAACTTGATTGCTTCTTAGTCATTACATCATCGGACCACCATTATTCTGCTCCTATTTTCTCCAATAGCTGTCATTAACTAAATTCAAATTTAAAGGCAATACTCGGTGGCCAGTGTGTGGATACAAAGGAAGAATTGGGAGCACCTCTAACGGAACTCATCGACACATTTGTTTCAGTTGCTGGTGAGTCTAGTGACGATGTGCCATTGTCAAGGGAAAGGTCAATACGCATTGTTCAGGTGTAAACTATGGAGCACAGCTTTGTTTTCTTCCAATCGCAAAGCTCTGTAATCCGATCAGCGGGCTTTATTGTACATCGAAGTACCTAGAGGACATAAACACCAAGTACGATCTTATTCTCTTTTACGTGACCTTTACCAAACACCAATGATCACTGTGTCCCTGGAATGGGTACCATATCTATCTCTGTTAAAGCTGGACTGAAAGAGCGGGTGTTTCCGCCTTCAGCCCGAAACCTCTAAGGAAAAACTTGGGTAGGGTTGACAACGCCCAAAACTGTATTCGTTCACTCGGCACAGCTCTGAAGAGTCTCGTAATCAGTTTTAAGAAGGAAATATCTAAGGGTCTGCTATCTAATTTGAAGAAGTATTTATAATCTCAAATAGGCAAAAATACGAAGGGCTGTACATCTACGCAATTTACTCCGAACAAGATGAGATCATTGGTTATCGAAACACTTGTGGCAACGTCTCTGCATCGCTAGCAGGAGCTGATGAGGAATTTCAAGTGAGCACCATTAAACTTTCTCAATGATTCTTCGACGAATCTCAAAAGCATGCTATTTTTTTGAGCCAACTCCATGCATTTACAGAGACCCGGTGGCCATGCTCAAATCATGGAAGGTACAGTGGATCTACAAGCTAATCTTATCAGCAGGCACCGAGAAGATCATCAATGAGCCACGTCTTTTCTAATCATCTGCAGACACATTATTATTCTTAGTAATTAGAAATTTATGATATAAATCAACAAATATGAGCAAAAAAAACCTCTATCAATTTCCTGAGCGGGAAGGAATGTCGGAATGGTGTTACAATCTATCATATGTACAACAAGAAAAGGAACAAAAAAAAANAAAAAAAAACAATGGAATAATTCTTACGATGGCAGACGATGAGTAAAATACCCTTCAAGACGAAAACCCACCACAAAAAGCCAATTTCCTGGCGCATTCAATTATGTGCTCGTGAAACATCGTCACAGAAGAAAATCGATCATCATGACATAACGAACAAATCATTACCCGTGGCTTTGCTGTGGCCTTAGCACACTCAGTGATAGGCGAGAGATCGTAGTTTGATGGAACGTTTCCTGAGTCGGACATCTGCAATAAAAGTGACGGGTAATTTAGCATTGACTCTTAGTAAAGCTGTTACTCACATGGATAGGAACTGGATCTGGAGGCATTTCATTTGAGCAATTACCATCTACCAAATGAGCTTCATAATCCGTAAATATGGGAAATAGTTTACGACAAACATTGCACAACTGTCCAGTTCGTCTGGGATGTCGATATCGATAGGAACCATTCTGGAATACTTGAGATTATCTTTGGAAAAGCAGTGGTAACAAAAGTATCGCACCTTAATCTGGAAGGGATAACCCCTACTAAGTTGACCATTCCTTTTCTTTCCGGGACTCAAAGCGGCCAAGCAAATTTCGCTAAAATTTCAAATTCATACACATAGCGAGAAGGAAAAAAGGGGAAAAAATGAAAGGCTCGTCAAAGCTTCAACAAAAGGGCACCCACTGACCTCAAGCGAGGAACACGATTCAGAGTCGTAGCCAGAGAACTGTGGCCTTCAGCAGGGAAAGTTACTTTGCCCAAATCAATCGCCTACAATATTAAATATGATAAGATTATAGCTAGAAACTAATCGATAATCAAATAAGACTCACTTGGGGATTAACTACACGTTCCATTACAGCAAGCGCATCTTTTGCTTTACTTCGGAAGCCCAGCAACGCGATTCTCTGCTCTGAACGAGGAACGATTAGTTCTTCTTCACACACATACGTTTCAAAGCCTCTCTCGCTTCAATTGGATTAACTTCTGTGGCTGCTCTAAGCAATTCGGATTCGGAATGAAGCTGAATTTCACTGCTCGCCGTCTATGTTACGGAAAACTTATGATTCTCATCCTTCTCTTTCATGTTTCACTTCACCAAAATTCACGTAACATTATCTCAAATGAATCATAAACAGCAAAATCACAAATAATAATCAAGTATGGCCTTGCCGATTTGAGCGCAGTCAACCTAGCTTCTCTTCCTTTCCTATAATCAATGCTCCATTTTTTAAGAGATCTCTTTTATTGAATTCCATTTCCAGTAAGAATAGAAAGGAAAAGCTGGTTTTATCCTTCTGATTGCCAACAGAGCTTCTTTTTTCTTACGCAATCGGAAAGCCATTCAATTAGAAAGTATGCAATTTCTAACTAATTGAAAAGTTGATGTACGAACTCAGTTTAAAGAGATCCCTTCTACGTAAAGTTACAGTTCGTTCTAACCGTTCGTGAGCGAGACTGAAAAGCTGCCAAGTGGAAATTAATCAATTTCAAAAATTGCATCTCCAAATTAACCAATACGTGAAAACCACAGCATAGTATTTGCAGTTGAGCAACTCATAGGGAGAAAAGTCAGAACAGAGGTCAACAATGGGACCAAAAATGGAAATGCTTACCTGCTTATTTTTCACGTTTACTTTCAAATTTGATTAATAATACAGAGTAATAGTAAAACTAACCATTCGTAAAGTCTTGTACATGTCGCGAGAGGTTTTTGTTGGAACAGCTGTGCTCTTGAATTACTGAAAGGAAGCGTGACGATAGTGTGCACACTTCGCAGTACCACGGAAATACGCGAGCTTGAGGCCGATAATAAAGTAGGCGGTTGCGAACTTTCAACCATTCTGCTCGACGCACTTTCCATCGACGATTCCTGCTGGAATAGTAGTTACATCACTAAAATTCAGAATGAGTTTAGAAAACACTTTCCCGAAAAGGTTTCTACAACCATATAGTACTGATACTCCTTAGAGGACCTTCGGAAGGTTTGGAAATTTCAAGAAAAAAAAGACCTATACCAAAACAGATAAGTTTCAGTGAAAAGAATAGTGATTTTACAAATAAAAAAGGGCCAACGTAATTACTACAGGCTATGCATTCTGTAGGCTTTCAGTGGGCCCAAAAATCTCACCCAAACCCAAAAAACGTGATCAACGCAGAGAAGGGAAAACAAACGAAATATCGCTCATTCTAGCGATTCATACATAATTAAATGAGAAATACAAGCTGTAAACGGGCATCCTCTGAAATGTAAACCTTGTTGCCCTCTTCGCATCAATGAAAGTGCTCATTCTATTACACTATAGCTTAAGATCGATAGTTCCAACATTGCTGGACGAGACGCGATATATCCTCTAACATCCTCCCATTTCACAATCTTTCTTTTGTTGCTTCAATAATAGCATTAAATCATCCGATGTGCATATTCTACAGCGCTTTCATGGTTATTACGACTTGTGTAATAGCAAATATACTTACGATTCAACAATTGATCGAAGTGAAGGATGTAAGAACTGTACATATTTCTTAGGAACATCGGTGATTTTTCGAATGCGAATCCTCTTCCTCTTCATTCTCATCGCTCTGCAACAATACGTCGACAGTCGCGGAGGTCGAAGAGGAGGAAAGGGCAAAGGGAAGAGTAATCTGCAATTCGCACAAGTAGCCGAGTTCTCATTGATCCAAACACAACTAGCCGACAATCGGGTAAGACATTGTATCGTACTTGTTCGAAAGTATTTCCGCACAGGAATATAACTATAACTGCAGAGCATTTAGTAATAAGTAACAAACAAAAGACAAAACAAAGCGAGCCAATGAGATTTTAAAAAAACTGCGATCTTGAAGAAGAGTATCGTACAATTAGCTGTGTAACTGAGGATTAGCAGTTCGATACAATGAATAGCGGTTTTAAGGTTCCAGCCCAGGTAATACGGTAAAAAGCCTGACATATAACGAGTAAATGAAAAAGCTGAAAAACTATTATTAGAATTAGTTTAAAGAAATCTATGGAACTCTTCTGACAGAAGAAAAATTAAGCCCTCATTTACAGAGTGCTCATATAGTTACTGGTTCGCACTTCAGTCAAACATTTCGTCTTGGATATAAGTTGATTCTTATTTGCAAAGCAAAAGGAGAACCACGACCGACGATCAAATGGTATAAGGAAGGCGCAGAGCTTCACCCAAAACATAACACTCATGTGAGCTATATCCTTCATTTCAGACTTTTTTGTACTGTTTGTACAGTGTTCTCAAAAACTCAGTCCTTTTTTCAGTACTATGAGAAACCTCTTGGCGAGGACATGCTCTGGAGTAAATTGGAAATAGGTAAGATGGAGCAAGTAAAGAATTCAACAAACGGTAGACAGGATTACTCAACAGTTGTTCAATCTCGAACAAATCTTGACGCTCTTTGATAACGACGCAAATCTAAAAAGATAAAGGTTAACCAATGCTAGAACTCAACCGTTCATATCAGTCACCCCTTCCCCGGTATGTTCTATCCCTCTATAGTGCACGATTGCATCAGTCTGACCCTATAGTGTATAAACGCTCCTATGAAGAGCTCCTCCCTCTTTTGATAACAATTCGACTTTATTTATTTCTGTTACCGTAATCGCTACACATCAGACATCTATTCATTCATTAAGGCGCCTCCTTAATTTTATTTTCGAAAATTAAGCATCTGGAGAAATGGAGATGGTATTGGTAGGGCTTTTCAGATGATTGTTATTGAAGATTTTTATGATTCAGATCCGGCAACGATGGGTGACCAAGGGGTGTACGCATGTGTAGCAAATAACCAGCATGGAGTGATGGCAAAGAACTTCAAAGCTGAATATACATATTGACTTCTGCGTTTGTATTTCTCGATAAAGTTATTAAAAAGATTATTTTCAATAAATGTAATAAAAATAGTTGCTGACCAGCAGCCACATCACATAGCAGAATGAGAAAAACAGAAGAAAAAAGAATGTTGGAGGATTAGTTAGACGATGACCAACACTTTTGACTTTCGACTAGTTGATGAGGAGCACAATGAAGTCGTATAGTTACCTGCTCATCCTTCAACCCAAACAGACACGATTATCGATAGGTACACCCGATTAGCGGATGTTTTCTGAGAAATGAAGAAAGACTGGTGAGGTGTTTGTATGATACAGCTGTACTATTTGTCTGACTATTCTGCTAGTTAAGTCAGCCTGAGATATCTTAGACGTGATGGGCAGCGGTCTAACCCTCACATAAAATGAATGATTGAAAATCGAGCACAGTCAAATCTATTGACTTATCAAGTAACAGTGACACCTTCAGCTGCTAATGCTCAACAGTCAAAAAGAAAATTGATGAAGATGAAAAGTTTGCCAAAAATGACACCTTACGGCATGAAAGAAGCTGAGGGGCTCGATCAAAGTTAACTTAACACTAACAGACAGCGACCAGAATATTCCTTTTATTTAAATTTCAACAGAGACCACATTTAAACAGTCTCTATACGCTATTCATATTTCACGAATTATATGATCTGGATCCGGCCGGTGGGGGCCGTCGGATTACATGACAAAAGTGCAGAGGAGTTGAGGAGTTCTGTAGAACCAAAATCAGAATAGAGAAAAAGCAAGCATTAATATAAAGAATACGAATGAAGGAATTGGTGAATGAACACCATAAAAACTCAAGGTCGAGCTTGTCGAGCTTGGTGCCTTCCCCGAGTGATACCCGGCTCGCCCTCATGGACCAACCATTGTCCGAGCAGGGTTACATTTTCCTTCGAAAAGACTGCCTCGAAGAAAAATGTACTAGAAAGGAAGGAAAGACGTTCAAACCAAAAATATACTAGGAGAGCATGAAATACAAACCCCTTCAACACATGCCGTGTAATAAACTACTGCGACCGCAAGTTGCACACGTCTACTTAATACGACGCCATTTGATCTTGATGGAACTGGAATTGATGGAAACTGGTTTTAGAAAATCGGAATGAAGTCGTAACTAAGGTTTTTTGTTACTCCTTGGTTGCAACAGGTCAACTAATACCCGATCTCATAATGTCAGTGGTAAGGGGAAGGGAGAGGAGCGGGTAATAGCCAACAGGAGCAGTGCATAACCCAGATGCTTGCCTGAATGCTTTCCGTGATTTTTGATAGCTAAATTATAGCGTAACAATAGAATGGCTGACGGGCTACCATCAGTCGTCACTATGAAGTTCCCTTTTCAAGCAATCTCCGTTTTCTTCGTGACACTTCCTACTCTATCCCTATTTCTCGGGAATTTTCATCATCCTACTGTTTATGGGGAAAGTAGGCTTTAATGGTTTGACACGTCCCATTTCTCTCTTAGCACCCAACATA